TGAATCATTTTGTTAGATTGAATAAAAACAATTCCGTTGATATTGTAACACCTACTGTATTACCTCTAGCCGCAAGTATATACACCATGTAAATTAAACGCTAATATTTGGGGTTTGCTAATAGACAGCTAGGTTTCGATGTCACCGATAAAAATATCAACAATTTCCTAAGCCATGAAGCGATGGCATGCATTAAAGATCCATCAGGCCGCTAGAGGCAAAATGACAATAATCTTATGAGTTGACGACAGACCGTTATTATTGTCTGTTGTAATGAAGACTGGCAGCTTTCCAACAAACCCAGAATGCTGATTTTGTTTCCATGCAAAATATATATTATGTACACTGTAGTTTACGGCGTTTATTTTAGAAGGCGACTTAAGTACGCTGAAAGGAAGTGGCCGTCTGTCGACCCCGGTCAAATCTTGTTACCAAGTACCGTCGCTGAACGAAACGATCGCCAAAAAACTGACCAGGAAGTTTCCCAAGAAAATGATCGATTACACCAGGGACCATCTGGTCAGAACCTATCCAGCAGGTGTGAGGATAGACTCGTCAAATTTCAACCCGCTCATGTTTTGGTCATTCGGAATCCAAATGGTGGCGCTGAACTACCAGACGTCAGGTAGGAGATGTCTGCTCGACGCAGAATGCCGTCGGTGCTGCTCGTTACGCACTCACCTTAGATGGAGCGATGGTGCTCAACACAGCAATGTTCGAACAGAACGGCAATTGCGGGTACGTGCTGAAGCCGAGAGTCATGTGGGACGAATCGTGTCCACTTTACGGCCAGTACAATCCGTGGGACTTCGAGACGAAGGTGACGCGAAACTTGCAGCTGATCGTCACCGTCGTGTCTGGACAGTTTCTCTCGCTGTCACCTAGCGATGGCAGTCCTTACGTGGACGTCGAAACGATCGGCATTCCGTGCGACTGTTTCAAGGAGCGTACGAAGACGGTGCAGAAGAACACCCTGAATCCAGTGTGGAATCAGTCGTTCTTGTTTGAGGTAAGCGTGAGGCATCGTTAAGTCGCTGCCGTGTTCGCCATGCGTCCTCCTTAAACTCTTTCAGATAAAATTCGCTGACCTCACCTTTCTACGGCTGTCCGTAGTTGACGCTTTGAACGGCAAGTGCATTGGACAGAGAGTCATTCCTCTGAAGCAACTGAGGCAAGGCTATCGCCACGTTCCGTTGAGAAACTCGTACAACAGACCTCTGGAAATCTCCACACTGTTCATCTACTCTCGAATGGAACATGAGGACATTATCAAACTGGACACCTGCGAGACCGTCCATTCGGACATCACCCGGTCTTCAAGTCAGTCCGAAGTAATAAATAACCACCTGGTAAATTAATGTGAAAAAATACTGGTTTGTTTCTCAGGTTAACCATGCCATGCAAAAGAAACAGGTGTACGTACTGAATGTTCATACAGAATCATCCTGCACTATACCAGTGCAGGTGAAACCGTCCACAACCGTGACGGACGTCATACAGATGGTGTGTATCAATTGAGATTATGCACTTCTGCCATATCTGATGAATACCATTCATCCAGGCCTTGCGCGAGATACACCCACAAAATGAGACGGTCGATGAATTCGTGTTAGTCGAAGATATGTCAGACTCATGTCTCAATTCTAACCAAAAGCAAACGGCCGCAAAACGAGTGCTTAGTCCAGACGAGTTCGTTCTAAGAGCCGTCAGCCCTCGCGACCAGTTGAAAGGGCGGTTCATCATTCAGAGAAAAGAAGAAAATGTAAAATTTTTGATTTTTTTTTATCAGAGTAATTTTTCGAGCTTAGAGTCCAGGAAAAACGCCGTTGACGAATCATGATCTCGAGGCGGTGAAGCAGAAGGTAAGATTTGCTGTCAATCTTTAATCTGTGCCTCACGGCCCTCGCCAACACGTAAATTAACAGGACAACCAAGCCTCGAAAGCATGGGCGGAACAAATCGATGGAACCTTCATGGTGTGCATACACAACGTGTCCCCAAATCAGGCGTATACCATTATTAGAGTTCCGGTTCAAAGCACCACTCAGGATATTATCGTTCAGGTAAGCCTTGTTGTTCAATATGGCAATATTAATTTCAGCTATTGTTGTTTTTCCTCGTTTTCTGGCTTACTGTAAACTTGGCAGGTAACTTAGCTGGCAAATCACGAACAGTGTTTCAGGTAGGCGGTGCAAGGAGATTGGGTGCAATAATTCGTGAAATTCGTAGGAACAGCTAGTCCTGCACGAGGTGAATCTGGCACTGCAAGTGCTCAAACACCAGGGAATCGCTGTCTGCTAAAATAACCTTCCCGGGCAAGTAGGATCGCAGGGGTGGCGCAATGCTCCGTAAAATCTGGCTTTGTTTAAGTTATTTCCTAATGCTCTATAGAATGCTTCTATTTTAGTACCTGCTAAACAATAATCTTTCTTTCCTGCCCATGTCAATTATTCTCCAGCATAACTTTGCAATATTTACCGTACATCGTTTTATTATAATTCTCTGGACTTGGTTTTGTATATATTAATTTAAATTGATTGGCAATGTTGAGTGGTTTCTTCAAAATCCAAATATATCAGGCATTCATGTGAGAAAAGAATATTCCCACATTGGCCACCATCCAGATAAAAAAAGCAAACAACTTCTTGCTTGAACAAGCGCACAGAAACAGACACAAAAAGTAAAAATACAATTACCTTACTTAGAATATTGACAGATTCAGCGAGGGATTATGTAAATGATTGAATGACTGAGGTAGTGAGCCATTAAATGAATGAATGAACATATAAATGAATAAATGATTAAGAGCGAACAAATGAAAGAGTCAGCGCGACTGCTGAGTGATTAAATGAAAAACGGATGATTGAGTAATCATGTGAGCAGACAATACAGGAAATGGGCTAGAAAAATATTGTAGATAATCATCACATGGTAATCCTTAGATATACTGATAAATGTTTAACTATACGAGGTTACATGTCGCTTTGTTTAGCTTCTAATAAAAACTCATCGCTTGGAAAACCCGAAACAGTTCGAATTGATCGAAGAACTGTTGCTCACTGACGACGTTCAATCTGAGACAATGTCCGGAGAAGGTGAAGGGCAGCGACTGCGGCGTGTATTGGACGATCAGGAGGTGGTATACGAAGTTCAGACCGCCTGGAAGTCACCGGGACGACTGGTGCTGGAAAAGCGCGACGAAACTTTTGCTGTGAGTACTTCTGGAGTAGCGTTTATTAAGGGCGAAAGATGGATGTGCCGTTGTGTCTATGCCAAACCCCATGCAATTGCAAATATTCGAAAAGCACAGGGCTCTTCCTGAATCAACCAATTGCATAGACATGTCTGAGGACAGATCGCGACTAAACTAAGGGTTGGCATGTCAGAGTGATTTGAGCTAGAGAGCAACCTTGCTCATTTGTGCACTTGCTAAGGCGATCTGGTAGTTGATAGGAATAACAGGTATGAGACCAAAGTGAACTTGAATCTTTATTTATATCTTTATCAAATCAAATATCAAATATCAAATTTGTTTTGAATGATCATTGCGTCTGAAGTTGCCTAGGAGGATTATTGCGTTATTCAGGAAGGGCAACTGGGGAAACCATTCCTGCTTTCACTCGGAAGATCAAACATGAACATGATTTAAACAGTGTATAAAAACATCATAAAATGAAATAACACTTTTTACGCCACTTAAATGGCAAAAATTGCACAGATTTAACAGTTGCCAACGTTTCACACGCTGTTTTATCCTTTTCAGTGAAGAGTGACGCCTACTCTTACAATGGGACATCATAGGCGTTTAGCTCTCAAAGCTGTTAAACGAAAATTTGCTGGAATTATTGAGAAAGAACTATAGAAAATTATACCAATTATTTTTTGCTGTTTCATAGATTCGACAATTTCATAGCTTGATCATCCGCACGTTTCTTTTCTCCATGGTCGAGTTGCCCAGAACCGCGCTAATATATGAGTCATCAACCTTAATGCAGTTTGTAGATGCCATGAAAACATGATTTCAGCATATTTTCGAAAGTTCTAACATGGATGGCAGTTCAAAGCAATTTCGTAGAGATTAGTAGTCAAGTGTTTTTCAACGTTCATAGACGTCGATTCATTATCAAATTATTTCAAGGATCTTGAATAGTCTTCTGGATGAAAAAAATGTTATGCATAATTCATCGTCATACGTCTGATTCCCATCACGTGGTGACCCGGTCAAGGACTATCAGAATTTGAAACCTGATAAACCTGTCACGTGACAGAATAAAACATTATTAGTTCTTTTATTCATTCACTTTTTTGTTTCTTTTTTTTCGTTCATTTTTCTGCTGAATCATTTATTCATTCGTCTCCGCCACCCGAAAGGAGAAGCGGCCATGGAAGATGAAGAAGAAGAAGAAGAAGAATTTGCTCCTTCGTTCGTTCGTTCATTCGTCAACCCACACGTCCATGCATTTTGTGTTACGTTCAGATTCTATGTAGATATCAGCTACACAAGAATGTTGCATTGGCAAAAAGCCAGGCACTACGAGCTTACATTCAGATGCTTTAATTGGATCTTGCTCTAGTAATTTCGTATGATATTTCACTAGTTCTTACATAAACCTCAATACAGAGGATGATGGAATGGTGAAAACTTTCATTCTATTTGTTTCAGAAGTAAATACTGAGGGTCTCCCCTGATTCTTAAACCCGTGTTTACCATCTCATATGTTCTCTAAAGACCTCTGCTACCATTGTACCTGTGGCTTGACATTTTTGGTGTGGTGCGCTTTCCTCCGTCGAGGTATTGATTGTGATGCTTGATAGGCATTGGCGAGTGACAGAACAGATTCTAACATAACAGTGCTAGATGAAATTGAGCAATTTCTTATTAGAAACAGGACGATTCGCCGATTATTAAAAAATTCTGTCGCACACTAATATTTATGCAAAAACGGCTTTCTTTGATCGTTTGAATTCTATCGTAATTTTTGTCTATCGTTTTAGGAAATCGGAGGTCAGAAAAGCAAATGCAAGGTACGGGGAGTCATGAAGTCGTTCAGAATGCGTAGGAAGGATGCGAAACAAAGCTCTGATTCGACACGACGGTCGGCGACTCATTGAAATATTTTTTTATGTGAGGCAAAACTCACAGCAGCTCGCACGAAAAACGCTGTCACCGTCTGTTGAGGTTTTGCACTCCGGAACTTGACAAAACGCAGAACTGGAGTCAAGGAGTTCAGACAGCAAACGCTGATCGGTTGCTGTGAAATTCCGCATTTCGCTTTGGATAACGAACGGTTGTTGCGACTGCAGATGCCCCTTGGTAAACTCTTTGTTCAGCAGCCTTCGCTCAGACATGTGTTTGAACGACCCTGCGGCTATCGTCAAACAGTCCAATCGCATCATGGTCCAATGAGCTTCGAGTGGGAGCGCGCGGCGTCCAACGAACACGCTGCTGTCGCACAGTTTTACGATCACGTGCGTTTATTGATTTTTGCTTGTAAACTGGCGGAAACTGTATGTGGTAGGCTGATAAGAGTGATTAGCTGCTAGAACTGTCCGATTAACGGTTCAGAATTTATAGCCACGGTTTTGAATAAACGCTGGTCATTTTTGTCCTTTTACCGTATACCTAATAGAGTTGGTGGTTACACTGAAGTTCCTCAAGCTAGTGCCTCCCAAAGATACATACATCTCAGCATGAAATTTTACACAACATGCTCACGACACTAGATTCGTATGTCTGAGTCTTCAGAATATAATGTTCAACTGTGTGCAAAAGTAATTCAAACATATTCTTTAAATTATTTCTTCACAGTCATCATCATTCGCGATTATTTGCCCTCGTTGTGGACGCAGCATGAACTCAAATCGACCCTCCTGTAATCTTATGATTTGAAATCTTTCTTGTGAATGTCTGGGGGATATATTCAGGGGGAGGAGGTCTCCGTCTATAGAGCTAATTAGTTTGCAATTCTTCCGTTTGCCATGTATGACAACAACGCATAAAGGAAATAGAAAAACCATTCTGTGTTCTGTTCACATTGTCCTTCTTCAGAAGGGAACACGGCACTGCATGTGCAGCGTTGCATTGCAGGGGATCCGGCCTGAAAATTCCGGCACAAGCCCAGTTGAAAACTAACTGCTAAATATCGTTCGGTTCGTCTGTTCCAAGTTCTGCAAAATCTTTAGTTTATTGGAAAGTTTGTGCCACACTAGCAAATCTTAATATTCGATGGCTTCCAGATATACTCTCTCTTTCGCCCATTAGCAGGTTATGTATTACAATGACACTGGTATTCGTTCTTTTGAAGATGAAGTCACTAGTCTTTGTCTACTCTTCAACAAAGTCAAATTATTTCTGAAGCTAATGGTCTTTCAGAATTACTGCGAAAACAGCTTCATGGGTTGTCAAAGGTCAAAGTGTTAGGTCTGTGATCCTTGGTTCGATTCTTCCACAAATAAACAGGCGCCACTGTATATCTAGGCAGTAGTCAATAATCTACTCAGCCGGAGTAAAGAGAAGCCATTATCACCCAATGAGACAGTTTTCCTCTGGATACCAAGCAACTGTTTAAAAAAATTGCATCTCCATCGTTTAAGAAGAAATCTTTACTGAAACGAGACATTTGATCATCGACCATAAGAAACACTGATCCTGTCTTTCATCATCAGACAAAACTACAACCCTCCTGCTTGCCTGCACCCGGTACGCTGATGCACGCTTCGATGCTCGAAGGAACTGTTCATAATGTCGTCCGTTGTTCATGCAAAACCGCAACAACCTCAAGCTATTATTGTTGAGGTCGCTAAGACGTTCTTTCCAATCACGCTTCTCCATTTTCCACCGTCTACTTCGACTTGCGCATTAAAATCGCCCATCAATATGAGGGGTTCTGTATTTGGCACTTCGTACGAAGCACGCTGCACTTCCTCAGGGAAGGTATCATATTCTTTCTCTTAGTTAGGCGCAGGGAGCTGTGACAAGGTCAACGCTTCAACCTGTTGTGGCTTCAGTCGGAGGATTCCACTGAGGGGTTAGTTTGCACTGAATGATTCTATTAGCAAGGTTAGGTTCTACCAAAATACGAACACTGGTCTGAGCTCTAACTGTAAAGTCGACACTCGTAGAGGTTCAGAATTTCATCGAGTTAGGGCTTTGTTGACGAAAGACCATTTGTATCGAGTTAGTAGCTTACGGCCTCATCAGTAAACCCTTGCTCTTGCCCTCTGAGTGAGGATATATTCCAATTTCTGACTGTAAGCTCCCACTAGTGGTGTCGTTTCTGGTGTGCCGTAATGGCACCGCGCTATC